GGGGGTGGGCGGCAGCAGCAGGAGTGTTACCCCGGGCATGTTTGTGTGTGTGTTTCTTTAATGTTTGATTTTTCTTTTTTTTTTTTTTCTTTGCTTCAGATGAAATATGTTGCTTTGTATCTTCTGTCAAATCAGGATAGAACTTGTTGGGAAATAAAACCAAGTCGTGGACTTTTCTTTTCCTCATTAATGACTCTTTAATGTCACTGCGACGCCGTCATTAAAACCCACTTCAAAGTTCCTCCCTGGGGGGGGCATCTCTAAATGTTAACTCTCGGAAAGGGGTTACCCGCTAGGAGGTCACCCCGTTAATTAGGGCACATCCCTTAAGAGATTAATGTATAATAAAGCTGAGGCTCGCCCTGTGCACAAACAGCGTGGCTGCGCGCCGGCGTCTGCGCGCTAGCGCCTCCGTGTGCATCTATTTTTCATGAAGTTTTTGCTCCAGGTTTTGTTTCAAAGTCGTCACGACATTTAAATGCTGCTTATTTAGTCTCTTATTGCTCCGGCCTTCAAGTGTGTCAGCTGGCAGTCGCCTGGGGCGCCATCTGCTGGAGGGGGCAATGAAAGCTGTAACCCCTCTGACAAAAAAAAAACAGCAATAAATAATGTAACTAATAGTAAGAATTCTCAGGCTGTTTCCTCTTTAAAGTTAGGAAATAAACAAACACAAATATATATATATATATTTACTGACACTGGAACCAACTGTGAATTAAACCCCAGCAGTTTTTATATTAAATCAAACTGTTTTAAATCCATTCATTATTTTTCTTTTATTACATGTTGGTGTTTGATCAACTAAACTACAGCTCTGTCCTGATGGGTTTTTGGGAGATTAGAGTTGGAGTATTTGAGAGGTTGTGCTGGAGGTGGGGGGGGTCCAAACCATAATGTCTCCTTGGACACCAGAATGGCTGGATCCGCCCGTGACGTCAGTATCGGCCTCAGTTCTGTTGAAGTGAACCGGAAACTCCGGTGTGTCCTTGACTCCTCCACTTCTTCTTCTTCTTCTTCTTCCTCCCCCGGTCCCTGCTCCCTCTACCGTCACCCCCACCTCTATTAATAGGGGTGTTAATTTCAGTCAGTGTGACTGAGCTCACAGCTTTTTTTCTGTTTGTTTTTAGCTCCGACAGCTGAACTTTCCACGGTGTTTGTGACAGACCGATAACTGCTGCACGCGTAATTGGGGGAGAAATTGGCAGGTGAGTGGTGTGGGTGAGTGGTGTGGGTGAGGATGTTCACGCCTTCCCTCTGCTGCTGCTGCTGGGGTTGTTGTTGACGTCGCTCTCACAACCTGACGGTTGTTAAAACCTCCGGGTGGAGGCCAGCTGATCGATCGATCGATTACTGCAGTGGGCCGGTGGAGAACCTCCTGTTAACCGTCATCCTGCCGACAACTGTTCGGAAAACTATCCCGGAAGTTGTTGTTGTTGTTGTTGTTGATGATGATCTTTAAGATAAAGTCCGTGCAGAACTTTTTGATCTAAACCCTGGGATCAAGGGAACATTAGTCCCGCTTTTCTGGTAGTTTGGTTCGTCCTGCTAATTTGCGATCGATGTTACTTATTTATTAAAATATACGCCGGATCAAATACGACCACAAGGGGGCACCATAATCACCTAAACACTGCTACTGCGCTACTGACATATGAAACGATTAAACTAAAACGTTGAATGTTTTCGGATCCTTGTAAAATAAACGTTTCAGAAATCTATGCGTATATTTATATCTTTATATATAAATATATGCATGTATATTTATATATATTTTCACATTTTCATAATTTATTAACAGGCAGAAAAACGAAGTTCACACCAAAAATGTAAAACACCGGAGTTAAATCTTTATTTGACTTGTTTGGTACTGACCACATTTCTACAAGAACGGTTTTTGTTTTTTTCACTTCACAAGACTGGACTCCAGGGGCACTGCACAATCACGTACGATGTTACATGTACTACGGATGTAGCCGAGGTGGAGGCAGGTGGAGGGTTCTAATCTGGAAGCCACTTCAAAAAGTCTCCAAAACCAAACAGACTTCAGACTCTGGAGATGCTGTGACTGACGGAGATAAAATAGACGTTTATATATTTGTAAAACTCCGCCGTGTGGTCGGTGCGTACGGTACATGCAGGTGGGCTGCAGCCCAGACTGTGGGCTGCAGCTGTTGTCATTTTGGTCCAATGGTGTTGTCTGACTAGCTGTCTGACAGCTGTTGTCATTTTGGTCCAATGGTGAAATTACAGGTTTGTGGTAAAGATTTTGTGCAAGTGGCTGTTGATTGGTGGAGAAGGGAAACAACAACAATAGTGGTGACATCATCGTTTGGTCACGTGCACACTTCTCATTTCCATGAAGTTCTACATCTTTTTTGTTGAGAAGAAAAGAAAGGAAAAAAAAAACATTTGGGAATCAGTGATTTGCACAAGGAACGTTTTTTTCTTTCCATTCCCGTTCTGAA